GAAGATCACCGCGCCAGATTGGATGCGGAATCCGAGGAAAAAAAGTTATCTTTTATATTAAAAATTCTTTTTTATAGAGCAAAAAGTTGTTTTTGTAATTTTTTATCGTATTGTCCCTCTTTTTATTTGAGAGAAAACGAAAGATTAGCATTTCGAATTTTCATAGAAATTGCGCAGACAGTGAGTCAGAAGTTTTGGATGGTAATACACCGAAGTATTTGGAATTCTGGACTTCTAGTTTTCTGAGATGTATTCCGGAGATTGTGACTGATAACACAGCTTTCCAGGTCGTGTGAGCTGACCCAGTCGCCAGTGGCAGTATCCACCAGCAAAGACATCAGTAGCAACGCTACTCTGATGGCGCAGGATGTGTCTCAACTATCCACCCCACATACAGCACCAGATGAAGCAGGCGGCAGCAGCAGTATTACACACGTGGAAAAAGAAGTAGAAAAGCCAAAAAGATTGCACGACGCAGGAGAGACATCTTCTGGATTTGGTGGTGCTTCAACTCCTGCACTAACATCGGAAACATCAGCCGTATCCGCACCCGCACCTCGAAAATTGCCTGTCAAAACAAGATACATCAAAGCATTGCCAAATCTTGCGTGCGCCAGAAATAAGAAACAAGATTCTGCTGCCAGTGTGCCGGAGGTTTTGCCAACTGCTTCTGGTGACAGTGCAGCAGAGCGAGTGAATACAAATGCAGAAATTGCTCCTGTAACAAAAAGCACAAAACTGCAAGACAACGAAAGTGCTCCAGAGAAGGAAGGAGAGGATTCAGCTGCACAGAAGGCGGCCAGTGCTGCAGATACCCTTACAGAAACCGAGAAACCGCAAAAACCGAACATTATGCGCACACGAGGTCGATACAGGAAAGCAATGCCAAATTTAGCGGATGAGAGCAGTACGAAGCTATCGAAAACGAGCAAGGTTAATTACCTCAAAAATTGCCACTGCAAGTGTTATTAGTCAGAAGTCAAAACCGTTACTGGATGAGAGGAGGAGGTACTCGGAAAATACCCCTACTGCCCGCAAATGTCAACACTAACACTGGCAAAGCTGTCAGTGGCTGCTCTTTCAAGAGTTGCTTACAAGTAAGCTGATAGTGTGGATTCGACTCCCCGATATTTGCCAGTACCAATTTATTATCAAAAGGAATGAACAAATCGTAGAGGGGTTGGTTGTTCCACCCGCAGAGTCGAACCCTCGACCGATCAGCCAATAATAGCAATACTTCCTACTGCGCCATGTTTCCTATCAGTAACTGTTACACGTTTGCTACCAATTTAAAAAAATTTTTTTTTATAAAAACAAATTTTTAAAAAATTCAATTTTCTCTTTCAAATACGAAATGCTAACAGCACCTTCTTTTAAGCCCGATTGACTGTTTTTGCATGATCTGATTATATTTTAATGAGTTGTCCTAGCCCACTGTCGCGATCTCGGTGCTGCTAACATCTTTTCGCGAGTGCTATGACCGAAGCTGCACAACCCGGATGTTACTTCTACATCTCACTGAATTTTCTCGCAGAAAAAAAATTTTTTTGTCTCTACAGAAATGTATGCTTCTGGAAATCGAATGCAGTATTTTTACAGTAAATCCCATTGAAATTATAAAATAAGATTTTTTTACTCTTGTAAAATCCACTTTTTTTTCAGAAATCCTAACAATCAAGAATTTCATAGTCCATTGCACATCGATTGTGAAAGATCTTGTTTTGTGATCTGACTTTTCGCTCACTATGGCACGGAAGAAAACTTATGCTCATTGTACATGTTTTTGACTTCAACTAGATAGTATACAAATCTCAGCCGTTAGATATTTACATAGATAAGCACGACACGAGTATTCTAACACCAAGGATTTGCTGAAAATGGTGGATTTTTGGATGATTTTTCAGCCAAATCCTAGGTATTTAAGAGTTTTAGACACTAACTGTTCAGCAAACTAAGTTTTTTTTTTTAAAGTTTTTTGTGTTCTCACATGCATTTCTGTAATTTTGTTTTAAAGTTGCACTTATTTGTTTATTTAATATTTACTTAATAAGGTGGAGCAGGTAACAGTGATTACAGTATGTATGAGCTGGTTATTGCCTGAGGAAGGTGTTCATTTTGTTTCCAGTTCTTATGTCAAAGACACAGATGATTACAATGTAAAGGGGGGGGGGGGGGGGGGGGGGGGGGGGGGGGGGGGGGG